TCCATATATTGGATGAAGTTTACCTCTTCTTCATGGAGCTGGAGCAAAGGAAAGTAGACTTACTGAATGTTTATGTTTTGAGAAAACAGCATGAGAATATGGTTGAGGCAGCTACATGTAGTCTTACAAGGGACAAAGAACTGAAAGAATGCTGAATGCAATGTTTTCCAAGTGATGAGGTTGACAGGAGCGAGGTATGTAACATGTGCCTTACTAGTACCATAGGTTACAAAATGCTTGTTAATTTTGGCCTGATGTTATAGTGTTAATTCATAACAGAAACTTATAACTCAGTTACTTAGTATTCTTGTTTCTTTTGCTCGCCGCTAGAAATATCCAGCTTATATTTTCAAAACATTATGTATTATCAGTGGGCTATTGGCAAGGAATTATTCTTACCTTTCTTATGGGAATCATTTGAAGCTATGGTAGTAGGCTTCAACTTAAGCTGAAGTACCTCTCTTCCGCACAGGATTTAATTGAAAAGCTGCAGAGAGAGTTTTTGGTATGTTATGTCAATACGGGTGCATCCCAATTCTTGAGAGATTTCAGCTGAGGTGCCTTGATTAAGAAGAGTGTGGAGCTGTGAAAACACATTTTGCAGGAAGGAACAAAGGAGAAATCTGAGTCTCTTTCAAGGTAGCTGGAATTGCTTGTATTTTATTCTCGTTTTAAAAAGCATAATGGCTAATAAGATAAGCTAAACACTAGAATACAAGACTCACTTAAGTATAAACAGTGGTATATAGGGTATATAAATCTCTTTCTAATACTGTACTTTAAGCGGCTATTCCTTACATGTAATGTAAACAACTTAGAGATGACAAATTAATGAAATTGTCCATATGATATTGATTTATTTTTATTGCTTATTTTCAAATTAATTAATCAACACATTTACAGCAATAATGATAGTAACTATACACCTTATTCCAAAATGGCCGCCAACTGGTAAAAGGTGGGGCAAGTGGCACAAAAACAAGGTCATAAGGGCCAGACCTAAAAGATTTTACAGTTTCTACCGAGAAGTTTTCGACAAACATAGTAACGTACCCTTCTGGTCAGGAAGAAAAAATATGGCAAATGCTTTATATGATAACTCAAGTGCTATGGCAAGCTCATCAACACCATCACCCAGGACACAGTTTCATGGGAAAATTTGTTACATGACGTCAGTTGACACCACTGTTTTCTTGTTGTCGTGCTAATGAAGTAAATGGTTATCGAGATGCCTGCACTTGACAACAATCATTTCGCTCATGTCATCGGAAGAGATCGTGGAAAAAAAAGTTTTCTTGAAAATTTTTTCCAATTTTAAGATAGAGAAGGCACCAAATGTCCTCTACAGACACGGACTGAGGCATTTTGAGGTAGAGCAGTCTGCCAGCTCTTTGCCACTCCTTGAGGCGTACCACCAGCACATTTGCCATCTGCACGCTAAGAATGAGCAGCTGAAAAAATGGAAGATATTAAAATCATTAGTGGCCAGGCAGCGGAATTGGCAGAGAGAAGAGCTGAAGTTTTCCGACTTCGCCAGGAACTTCAGCTTCTAAGACAGGAAGTTGCCCAAAGTCACCTTGCAGTTAACCCTGTATAGAACACCGTGAAATCTAACATCAGCTGCAAAACCTATTGGGACGTGGACAGGGCTGCGCAGTCTTTGAAGAGAAAAAATCAGAGACTACTTCCGGAATGCTGCAGAGATTT